GTTGTGTAGGCTTTAATTATTCTTAAAGATTGTTTCAGACATATTCCCGAAAAATGCTCCTGAAATGCGCCGAATTATTCCGGTGAAGTATAGAATATTCCTGTGCGATTCCTAAGGATTGTTTCAGACATATTCCCAAAGAATGCTCCGGAAATGTGCCGGATCATTCCAGATAAGCAGGGAATATTTCTGGAGCGTTGAGGAAGATTGATTGCGGTCTGGGAAGAGATCATGATCTCTTGATTTGAGCACCAAGGGGACTGCAGATAAAAGGGATATAGTTTAATCTGCACGACAATTTGCAACTCACTAACAAACAATATTGAATTTTTAAATAGAATTTAAAAATAAAAAACATTGCAGTAAAGTAGGCTAAATTCACACACTTAAATTAACAGCCGACCAATAGCAATCACAGAAAGGCAAGCACACAATAGTATATTAAAGTACAAGTTGCAGAAGGCCACATATTCTCGCACGAATTCGAAATTTGGCCTCGAGCGACGAAGGAGCGAGTGGACGAACGAATGAGTGCCAGAATAGCCTTCTGCAACGTGTGATTTATACTATTTTCTCGATTTTAACTTTTATTTAGGTTTTTTTAATTGTTTTGTGGTCGTTGTTAGTAAGGGGATTTTTCTCGCAAAATGTCAGTTGGCAACACAAAATGACAATATTTGTTATCCTGCACAAGTACAACTTGAACTGCACTTTTTTACATTAAACTTAAAATTTTGCATTAAAATGCATTGTTGGAGCAAGCTTAATATTACAAAACAATAATAAAGGCTTCATTTTCAATAAAAGTAATGAATTTGAGGTTATTATTCAGTTTGACATTTTGGGGGTACCAATACTTAAAAACTAAATGTTACCAAAAATCGTTTAAGAATGAGCTTCATTCTTCAACGATTTTGCGTGCGAGAATATGACATTCTTACATAAAAATCGAGAATAGTATATTAAAGTACAAGTTGCAGAAGGCCACATATTCTCGCACGAATTCGAAATTTGGCCTCGAGCGACGAAGGAGCGAGTGGACGAACGAATGAGTGCCAGAATAGCCTTCTGCAACGTGTGATTTATACTATTTTCTCGATTTTAACTTTTATTTAGGTTTTTTTAATTGTTTTGTGGTCGTTGTTAGTTAGGGGATTTTTCTCGCAAAATGTCAGTTGGCAACACAAAATGACAATATTTGTTATCCTGCACAAGTACAACCTGAACTGCACTTTTTTACATTAAACTTAAAATTTTGCATTAAAACGCATTGTTGGAGCAAGCTTAATATTACAAAACAATAATAAAGGCTTCATTTTCATTAAAAGTAATGAATTTGAGGTTATTAATCAGTTTGACATTTTGGGGGTACCAATACTTAAAAACTAAATGTTACCAAAAATCGTTTAAGAATGAGCTTCATTCTTCAACGATTTTGCGTGCAAGAATATGACATTCTTACATAAAAATCGAGAAAATGTTTTATTCACCCAAGCATTAAAATAAACACACACCCACAAGGGTATTATTTGACATCTTGACAAGTTGACATAATGATCTTCGCACAGTGGGGTAAAATAATTAGAATATATCTGTTCCTTAATTCTTTTCAGGTGAGCAAACAACATGTTAAAAGGCTGCATCCTCTTCAAATAAGTATTTGGGGAAAGTAGTTGAACCTTCTTTAAAGCTAGCCGCTTATTTTGACCTAAACGACGAGGACAAAGGAGCGAAAATGCAAATTTGGGTCATGTTGACGATTCAACGGATTTTGCAAAGTTTTCCTTTCTCAGCCGAGTAAAATACAGCTCATTTAAGTGACTGAATCTTCTTTGAATTTAGTATTTGGTAAAAATGGCTGAATCTTTTTTAAAGCCTACTGCCTATTTTGAACAACCAGACGCAGACAGCGTCCCAAGCCTGGGGGGAGTCCTTGTCGTACGGATGGCGACACGGATACAGACACAACGACACCCAACCGCAAACATGAACCCCAATTGTTTGGGGTATTTACAAATACCCAGGTCTAGGGGTTTCCGTGTCGTACCCAGGTTTGGGTCGGTGTAACGACCTAAAAAACCAATCTGTTCTGCTTATCGACCATCTATTAATTATTAATAACACTATGATAGTTTTAGAAACTTTTTTTCCTAACATTGAGTACTCCAGCTTAGTTTAACTAATTTTGGGCCGCTGAAAATGTCATTGGTTTTTCTCTAGGACGTCTATAGGATTTAAAATAATTTCGTAATAAAATGCTCTTAAAATGTAAGTATTTTGTTAGTAATTTAATTATTTATTAAATTATTTTGGCTTAAATGTATTGAAGTAATTGGTATACGGCAAAAAGATCATATTTATCTTAACAATATGACATTTTAAATACTAAAACTAAAATTTTAATGTATTTTTTGTAAAAAAACAACCATTATTTGACATTTTTTGTCGTTTATTTTAATTATTGAATTGAAAGGGCAACAAAGTAAACAAGTTTCGGTATTTTTTATCCAAATTAGGCCACAAAATTTAATGCATTACATAATTTTGCTTTTTTCTACCTTACATTTATTAAATCGAACGAAATATCGAATTAAATTATAGTATACTATACTATAATATATTATTGAGCTTAATCCTTAACTTCTTTCCGCTATACCCATAGATATCTACTCGTAGTATTGCAGTTACTTGGTGAAATCGTTCTCCATGTTCATCAGTTCGGCAAATTTCTCAGGATAAAAAAAATGTATTTTAAATGACGTTTTAACGCTAATTCTTCACAAAACGGATATCATTTTTTCAATGAATTGGCGCCAATTTTAGGCCCGATATGAACCAAGAATATTTTCAATGATACTGCCATATGCGACAAGCTCGTCAACTTTGAGAGCATTTTTTAATGCTTGATCTTTTATTAAACGTATACGACGTCCATTTAATATTCCTGCAAAATTAAAGTAGTAGGTATATCTCTTAAAATTTTGTAATGAAATATTGCGTTGGATTTAATTTGGATACTTTAGGCATGATGTGAATAAAAAAATATCAAATAATAGTCGAAGAGTAATGTTTATACCGAAACCCATTTACTTTGTTGCCTTTTCAATTTAAATAGTAATTAAAAAAACGACACAAAAATGTCAAAAATTATACTTTTTACCAGAAAAACATTATAATTTTAGTTTTGGTATTTAATAAAGCACTTCCCTGCAGAAAAGTGCTTTATATAAATATCCCTTATATAATACTACTATAGTATACGACTACAATGGAACAAAACAAATTTCTATTTGACATTTATCTACCGATTACTTATATGGAGTCCCTGTATATTTTTGAAAAAAAAATGTCAAAAATATACTGAACAACCAAAATAGATTTAAGGTAAAATAATTTAATAAATAATCAAAATATTAACGAAAAATTTACATTTTAAGATAATTGGGCAGAGCATTTTATTATGCAATTATTTCGAATCCTAGACGTCCTGGAGCAAAACGAGTGGCATTTTTGAAATCAGCAGCCCAAAATTAGGTAATATAGGTGGGCGTACTCAATGTTAGTAATTCGAACTATCATAGTGTAATTAATTATTATCTATGGTCACTGATACCATAGCCTTAGAAGCCCTATTATAGGGCCTTTTTCGAAACCCTTTATAATAAAGGGTTTCGAAAAAAGGCGTGATGGACTTACGCCTCCAGTGAACACAGGTCTGTTTTCAGATGACATGCATGGCAAAATTAAATAATTTAAACTGTCAAAATTTGCTCTTCACATTTTTAGTAAATTTTATTGCAGTCATGTTGTGTAGAAAGAAAAATATCTTCTTTCATACGTGGAAAAAATGTCTTTATTGCTTGGGTATTCGAGGTGTGTTCAGAAATTAACGGGAATTGTTAAATTTCGCGGGTTCGGAGGGTTCCGTTGTCATAAAATTTTCTTTATTATGTTGGTATACATGCCTCCGAAGTATGATAAAAACTTTAGCTGTTTTCATTGTTTACTTTATCTGTGGCAGCCGCTAAGGTTAGACGTGTTTTATGAGCTCGGCGATTTTTCGTTCGTTAAAAGAAATGGATCAAAGAATTTGTATCCAATTTTGCTTAAAAAATGAAATAAATTCTGTGAAATATTAACAAAGGCCTATAGTGAGTCTGCTATAAGTAAAACAAGAGTTTACAAGTGGTATAAAAGTTTCCAAGATGGCCGTGAAGATGTTGAAGATGACGAACGCCCCGAACGTACAAGCACATTACCAACCGATAAAAACATGGAAAAAGTGGAATAAATGGATATAAACCATCAGAGAAGTCGCTGATGATGTTGGTATATCGATTGGCTCATCCCATGAAATTTTTTCGAATGTTTTGGGTATGAAACGCGTGGCAGCAAAATTTGATCTAAAATTGATAAAATTTGATCTAAAATTGATAAATTTTGATCAAAATTTTTGGCCAAAAACAATACTGTAATGAAGCCCCAGCCTCCATATTCGCTAGACATGCCTCTGTCTGACTTTTTCCTATTCCGAAAAATAAAGAGAACCTTAAAGGGCCGTCGTTTTGCAAGCATAGATGATATTAAAAGCGCATCGCTGAAAGAACTAAAGGCTATCCCAAAGATCGAGTTTTAGAAGTGTTTTGAGTATTGGAAGAAGAGCTGGCACATGTGCATAATTTCCAATGGGGACTATTTTAAAGGCGACAACATTAATGTAGACGAATAAATAAATATTTGTTTCAAAAAACGAAAATTCCCGATATTTTCTGAACACACCTCGTACTATGAAGACACGTATTTTAACATATTAATAAACTTTCAATGACAGTTTTCGAAAACAGTTTTTTGGCAATATGGCAAAAACAAGAGCCGATTGAGTAAAAATTTTAGAAACAGCGCACCCAAATTACCGGGAAAAAGTTGTTGTATACTCTGCAGCAAATTTATTTTTATAAGTTAGTTTTTTTAGGAGTGAGGATAAAATAAAGTAAAATTACCTTCAAACTAGTTAAATACTTTTTTAGTTTTAATACTGAACAATCACAAATCCAAGGATTAGCTTCCAGCTTTAAGTCTATGAAGGATGATCTATACAAGGCATCTATTAATTGATCATTTAAAGAGGAAATATTATTGTTATCCAAATATAAAACCTAATAAAAAAATAAAACAAAATAAAATTGAATTACAGATTAAAAACAAATACCTGTATATTGGAAGGTACCCAAGTTACATTTCTAATTTTGTTTTTCGACAAAATCAATCCCGTTACATTTTCGTATTCATTATGTTCAGAGGGACTTTCGATTAATTCATTATTTTGCAAGTTTACCATTACATTTTTGACCATTTTATTATATATATGCTTTGGTGCCAAAAACTTTGGAACTTCTTTTAGTGCCTTATTGGAACAATCCACCAAAAACGTTGAATTAAACGGCCGCCAATGACATGTACATTTTTCCGGACAAATGTAATGATCACTCTTTAAAGAGGCCATTGGACAACTGATGATTTCCTTGTTTTCGTAAAAATAATACAATGTTTTACTTTCAGAGCATTTGATTGTTTTGTAATTCATTACGTGAACTGTGTCTTTGATTGTGGGAATTGATGTAATAAAGTCATAATTTGTACAGTCACACAAAATTGGATTATTGTCCAGATTTAATTGAACAGTATTTTTCGAAGATTCCAAACCGGTCATATCAATTTTCTTTATTTGGTTGTTGGAAAAATTATAGAAAGCACTTTTGGTTGATAGAAGATTGGTAAGCTGAAAATAATTTTTTGTGTTTAATAATTATAATTATAATATTGGGTACTCTAAAAAATTCCGGCCGATTTTTAAAAAAATATTGTCATAACAATAAATTAAAAAGAAATAATAAAAAATAAAACAAAAATTAAAAATGGGTGTAAACATGCACATCTTGACCTGTTCGAAAATCAGCTGTCCACCGAATCAGAAGAGTATCAAACAATAATGGAAATGGAAAATCGTTATAGAGGAAAGAGGTTTGATTCGATGTTGGCAGATTTTTGTTGGTCTATGGCAATGGAAATTTTGGCATACAATTATAAATAAAATTTGTTATATCTTTTATGTTGATTCATTCTATTTGTTAAAAAGAATATGTTTTTAATAATAATAATAATTACCATAATTATTATTATGGTAGAAGCGAAAGAACTAAGAAATTATACTACAACATATTAAATCCAGAAAAAGGTTCAATTTAAAAAAAAAATGCATTTTATTGTTCTCATTATTTTTTCATTTAATTATTTTTTTCTTTATTTGATTGTTATTACTTTATAAAACAATATACAAAACAAATAGTTATCTTTTATGTACTAATTATTTATTATTTTACGATATTTCGGGATCCTGAATTATCCAGATCCAGATCCAGAACTTTAAATTGATATTAAAAAAAAACCAGAATCAATCTAAACATTCTGTAAACGCTATAATTCATGATTTTGATTGTAGAAACCGAAAATACTTTTAGAACCCCATCATCTTAATTTTTTTCCGAAAATTTTGCACAATTATAATTCGCAAACTTTAGTTTGTGTTCGACTACTGCATGTCGCCATATCCTACAATCATCAACATTTATATTCGTTGCTTCTCAGTTAAATTCGCAAATTTTTTAAACTTTGCAACTACACTAAGTCTTGACAATTACCTATTACTAATTACTGAACTGTGATGAGTTAAGAAATAAGAATGCCAGAATTAAAAAAGATCTAAATAAACACACAATTGAATGTTGTTCTTGATGCAACCGAATCTGATAAATATGTTTTAGTCAGTATGTTTAATCGTAAATTTTTTGAAACCTATAGGTATATATTTATCGTACATGAAACATACTTGAATTCGATAAAAAAATCAAAAATAATATAAAAAATACGTGTTTTATTTGAAAAAAATATATTGGTGGTCGTCACTTTTATATTTCGTATCGTATACGTGAATTGACCATAAAAAACTCGCAGCCAAAAATAAAAATTGACGTGCCCGAGCCATTTTACAAAAAAAAAACCTGAATGTTAAATAAATTTGTTTCAACGCGTTCCACGCGTCCTCATTGTATATTATCCAGGTATATTATACATGCGAAAGTATGTCCGACTTTGTTCCTCTTTCACGCCTAAACAATTTTGCAAAAAATATTAACTTTTTTTTGTTTTAATTTTGCTTTTACTTTTGACCTTTGACTGACCCTTTATGTAAAGTACTAACTTCACGCGAATGATATATCAGTTATAACCTAATGTGTTATCTACCGGCAAAATTGGGGGAACTTACACGAGTACCTAATATTAATTATTTTTTTCACACAAGATGGCAAAACTCAATATTCAATTTTCTTAGTAATGTTCTTTTATTTAATAAATATAATTAAAATATTATCAGCCTTAACAATCATTTAAGTAGTATACTATCTATAGATTTACTTCAAATACTGACTTTTGCTTTACTATGGTATAAATACTTACTATTACTTTTTGTATTTTATTTTCTGAAAAATCAATTTTAATGTAACTGTCTGTCATTAAATAAAAATGAGGACCAACAGATATAGAGTTTTTCCTTAAATTTATTACTTCCAATTTTTTTATGTAATAAAATAACATATCTGACATGTAATTGCCTATCAACATATTATAGGACAAATCGATTTCCTTAACTGCTTCTAAATTTGTAAAGGCTTCTTCTTCAATATTACTTATATTGTTGTGGTTTAAGACTAGTTTTGTTAAATATTTTTGGTTATAAAAATCTTCATTTTTAATTAAATATAAAAAATTATACCCCAAGTTAAGTGTTTTTAATTTTGTTAAATTTTGAAATACTGCAGAACTTAATTGTTTCAAAGAATTATTTCTTAGATTGAGTTCTTCCAAATTATTTTGATTGTCAAATAGACCCAAAGGTATATCAGTTAAGTTGCACCCCTCCAAATCAATTTTTATTAAATTGTTTAAACTTGCGAAAGCGTTGCTTAATATCAAGTTCGCATTAAGCCTTAAATCTATTGTTGTTAAAGTGGAATGATGTTGAAAAGTAGTATTTAAAATTAATTTAATATTATTTCCCATAAGACTTAAGTATTTTAGTTTCTTCAAATTCTTTAAAATCCCAACGCCAACGAACTCTATTTTATTATAGTTTAAAAATAGTTTCTCTAAGTTTTCATTACCATTAAACATATCTAAACTTATTGATCTAATATTGTTTGAGAACATATCTAATTTTCGAAGATTTTTTAGTTTTGCGGAAGGAATAACTTGTAAATTAGTATTCCTAATTTGCAGCTCTTTTAAGTTTAATAACACTGATAAATTAAGATCTTGCGGATTTACAAAGTTGATGTAGTGTAATTTCAACTTTATTAATTTAGGAAAATGTTTAAAAAAAGTTTCTGATATATTTAGTTCTGGGCAATTGTTGATTGATAGTTCAAGATAAGTTTTTCTGTCATTCAATATTTCTTCAATTAAATTGGGCTTCAATTGACAATTTATAGTAAGGGAAATCATTAAAACAGACTTGCTTCCAAATGCCAACAAAAAATATATGAGTATTTTCATAATGAAATAGTAGATCTGAAAAAAAAAATTATTAACAAGATATATTAGTTTTATGTTTTTTAATGGCGCACTATAGCATTCGAATCGAATGGAATAGGTTTAAAAAAATACATACAAAATTTGTACCCAGTACTTTTTGACCTGTTTAGCAATTAAGTTTAAGAAACGCTGATATCAAAAACCAGTTAGTACTTACAGGGAAAAAGTAATAGTAACCATTGATGTGCCTTATTCAAAACTTAAAGTAATATTACTCAAAGATTCGAAATTATACAATTTCTAATAAAATCTCACTTAAATAACAGCAATATTAAATTTTGTCACATCAATGAGTACTGCCAGGAACTATAGAAACCAATAATATTGGTCCAATGTTCTTTATGTTACCGCGAAAGTACAAATAGTTACTTTATAAACAATCGCTGATTTTCCAAAAATATCTTTTGTTTTTTGCACTGCTGTAGTCACGAGTAAATATATTACTATATTTCTACGCTGTACACTGCTTGAAATATCTGTGGTGTAAAGAGTAATCTTAGAATGCTTAAACGATTTTAATGGGCCCCCTTTACAATGAGTAAAAAGTTTATTATTACCCTTAGGTTATTTTTAAATTGGCATATCATATTACTTTTAAACCTCCATTATTTACATAATATTTTTTTAATTAAAATTTTGGACAGGTAGATAAAGACTGTACCTATACTATAGACAGGAATAACTTATGTCACATAAGATAAGCAAATAAAAAAGGATTAGGTAAGAAAAATGGCTGTGTTTTTAATAAAAACTTTTTATCGAGAATATGCTTCTTTGGAAATTCGCACATGCGTAAAAACTTATTTAAGTTCATGTGTAGTTATCGTTTGTTAACGGAATTATAATTATACAGGGTGTCCGGGAAAAGGACGTCAATCCGTTAACCATATATTCCTTGAGTTAAAACAATAAGACTTTCATAATACCATTTTTCAATTTAGAGCTTCATGTTCGATATACAGGGCGACAAAGTTTGAAATTTAAAACTGATTTTTTTTAATAATTCGAGTAATTGATAAGATACTAAATTTAAATTCGGTACACTACTTCAACATAAATAGTTACATTTTTTGAGACCAACAAAACAAAAAACAATTTTCAAATAATCAAAATAGGGGGGTCCAGTACTCACTGACTCCCCCTATTTTTTAGTACGTGCGCCAATGACTTCCAAACGGTATTTTTTCAGGTAATCATTTATTGTTAAAAAAAATTTGTCTCTTATAAAATTTTGATAAAATGATTTGTTTTAGAGATAATTTGTAAAGTATGGGTCAGTCCATATCAAATCAACCAAAGGTTCTTCTCCCACCATCTCCGATTTTGATCATTTTTGGTAAATTTGTTTACTTCACTAAAAAACTCAAAAATCCCATATATGAATTTTTTTCGATAGGTGGTTTTTGTTTTATTGATTTTTGAAAATCAAAAAATTCCGATAAATTTGGGTCTTGCAAGTACTTACAAAAATAGCGATATCTCGTAAACTATTAAAAGTAGAAAGGTGAGTTATGGCTTATTTTAAAGGCCTATTAGAGAACTTTTTTATGATATATCACATGACCTACATTTTTTCAAAAAAAAAAATTAAATTTTGAAAATTTGATATGGACTGACCCATACTTTACAAATTATCTCTAAAACAAATCATTTTATCAAAATTTTATAAGAGACAAAACATTTTCAACAATAAATGATTACCTGAAAAAAATCCGTTTGGAAGTCATTGGCGCACGCACTAAAAAATAGGGGGAGTCAGTGAGTACTGGACCCCCCTATTTTGATTATTTGACAATTGTTTTTTGTTTTGTTGGTCTCAAAAAATGTAACTATTTATGTTGAAGTAGTGTACCGAATTTAAACTTAGTATCTTATCAATTACTCGAATTATTAAAAAAAATCAGTTTTTAATTTCAAACTTTGTCGCCCTGTATATCGAATATGAAGCTCTAAATTGAAAAATGGTATTATGAAAGTCTTATTGTTTTAACTCAAGGAATATATGGTTAACGGATTGACCTCCTTTTCCCGGACACCCTGTATATATAATTATTATTTAAATATTTTTTTAAAAGAAGCTTAATGAGATATTATATATTATAGAATTACGAAAATAATCCTGCAAATAAAAAGGTATATAGAATAAGATTTTTTTAACTAAAATTAATTAAATATTTTCTGTTCACTACCAAAAATTGCAGATACAGCCTGTTACAAAAAACATAACCATAAAAATAAAAATAACAAAATAAACAATGCAAAATGTCATCTATGACAACAAACATAACCATTTAAACCAAAATGACACATTTTTAACAATAATTGAGGCCCATAAAAAACTTAAGTAAATAATGACATTTTTCATTGCTAAATGTCATTTTGATTTAAATGGTTATGTTTGTTGTCATAGATGACATTTTGCATTGTTTATTTTGTTATTTTTATTTTTATGGTTATGTTTTTTGAATCAAAATCAAAAATTTTGATAAACAATAGCCAGGACCGGCTCAAAATTTAATTAAACTTTGAATGGCTATAACTCGCTTATTTTTGAGTTTTGATAAAAAAGTTACTTAAAATATTTATTTGTCTACCCGGGAAAAAAAAAATTATATATAATCATATATAATTATGTATGATCATATATAAAATAATGTATGGACATATATGATTATATATGATTATTTATTTACGTATAATTGGCTTTTATATATGGTTGTATATAAATATCTATAAACATGTAGAAACATACATGGTCATACACACTTATATATATTTAAATTTATTTTAGATGAAGAACGTTTACATTTATAATATATGAACATATATAGTCATATATATGTATGTATATGTATATATTATTATATGTGATGTAATATTATTTATTTTGGATGCAAAATACATTGATGTATATATCCAGGATACTTAATATTTATAATATATGACTATATATGTACATATATGGTCATACAAAGTATATATATATGAACATATCTGGTATAGTGATGTTAAATTTGATGACAATACCATATGGTAACGTAACATTGTTTTTTTAACGTTAAAAAAACAATGTTACCCTTCAGAACGGACGCGTAGAGATTCTTTATATATTTATTATATTTATTTATATATATTTTTCATATATTTTATTTCAAAAATTAAAAATATTTTTTCTCTTATACATATACATATACCGGCCTCGGTGGTGTATACACCACTATAGTGGTCAGAGCTCCTGGGTACGAGCCGAGAGGTCGTGGGTTCGAATCCCACTTGGGTATGGTTGTTTATTTGTGTTTGTCCATTGTGTATAGTCCTTCGGAGGGGACTTTAAGCCGTCGGTCCGTTCCTACCCCTAACCCGCACAAGCCATTCAGTTGGCTTATGGGACATCTTAGTTTGGATGTAAGGGTGGAACTAAAAGAGCACTTTATAACTTTATAACTTTTATATATATATATATATATTATATATATATATATATATATTCATCTTACTAATATCCTAGCGTCCGTACATTAACAAATCCCTATTCTCCGAGCGTCCGGCTCCAACAGAGCGTCCGTATACGGACGCTCGGTTGTTTTGCTACAGAAACGGCCTATAGGATACCGTAACTGTTTAAAGAACACATTTTGTCTGGACGCCCAGATAATAGTAAAACGGTTTTTTTTGTATACATTTTGTATATTATTAGTTGAACGCATTTACCGCTAGAGGCGGGAATCGCGTAATACGTATATTCTTTAGGGAGTATATTTACTTTCAAATCGTCGATTTCTGGGCGTCCTTTCGGTTCGCGACCCTTGGCAACGCTGTATTCACAATAATTCACAGGATTTCTTTATTCGTAACGATTCGGTGCATTAAGAGTTACTTTTTAATTTATTGTATCTGTACGTTCTACGTCAGTGCCTTGTATTCTTACTATGTAATATATTATTATGTATTTATTATTTATTTATTTCAATGTTAACTTGTCAAAAATATTTCTGTAAACATAATGTGGCCAATAAAGATTATTATTTTAAATGTTGAAAAGTGTTGGGTCGCGTGTGGGGTTGGGTGTTGGGTGTTGGGTTTGGTTGGTTTGTTTTAATTTTATTACTTTATTTGGTTTACCACTTACCCAGCACTCGCCAAATTTTTTATTATTTTTTTTAAATCTTGAAGTGTTGGGTTGCGTGTGGGGTTGGATATTGGGTTTTGTTGGTTTATTTTAATTTTAATACTTTATTTATCATATATTTTATATTTTGTAATTTTTCCTTTGAGAATTTTTTGCCTTAAGAAATTTTTGTATCGAAGACATTTTTGCGATAGAAATTTTTGCCATGAGAATTTATTTCTTGGTTATTTTTCCTTTGAGAAATTTTTACTGAGAAATTATTTTTGAGAAAATAAGACTGGGAGCCATATTTATATATATGGGGTGTTTTATTGAATAAATATAAAATTTTTATTTTCTGAACCATACAGTTTCAATTTTTTTTTAGTAATCACACATTGTAGATATTACTTGGTATGAAATTTGTGATTTTATATCATTTTTGTTAGGCCATGAAATGTTAAGTTAAAATAACATAAGGGAAAATGCGTCAAACGACGTCAAACTTGTCACATAATATTTTAATTAAGTGACGTGTTTCGTATAGTAATTAGCTTATTATATCTACCACAATAACTAATTAAAAGGGGCCGAGGATGGCGCAGTGCGTTAAAGCTACAGAGCGGTAATCAATCTGCGCCACGGTACCGGGTTCGATTCCCGGTCACAGCCTTGGGTGTTGTGCTTGTTTTTCGAGCATAAAAAAACATACAATCATGAGCTGGCTAAATAGTCGTAAAGACTAAAAGTCAATATAAAAAAAAAAAAAACTAATTAACAAAAATAATAATTTTAAAACAGAATTTTATTCTGTACAGGGTTATCCTCTATAATGTCGCCCCCTTTTAAATTTTTTATTTTAGTTTCT